GGGGGGAGACAGAACAAAAAAATTGGGGGGGGGGGGGGGAATATAAAAGAAAACAGTCTGGCAGCAGTAACCAAAAGGCCACTGATAGTAGGTGTGTCTACCCCTCTTGTGCTAGTCATGATTTGAATGAAAATCTACTATTATTATCAATTAATCCTTTAGTTCAGATGGCAGTAGAACATACAGTAGGTCTGAAGGTTCAAAGTCCTATTAACGAAGCCAAAGAGGGATCAATATAACAAAAGCTCTGCATTGTCAGGTGGTTTTAAAATCTTCTCCTAAAATAATGCTTTTAAGGCAGCACAGAAAACCAAAAAAGGGGCAATGATGAGGTTGTTCACATACTTTACTCTTTCCTGCCTGGGTGCAAAAAATGGATTTTGAAGTTACTTGACCACAGTATTTATACTCAGTGGGTAAATATGTATGTCTCATTCTCTGGTTGCTCAATTTGATGTCCTGGGGGCTGATATGCAGAAGTGATTACTGCTTCATCCAAAGACAATATGAACTGTGTTTCCAACATCTAAATTTCTGTATTTTTAAGTACCTTGGAAAACTAAATTGTGCGTTTTAAATCGGTAACCTTAATATAATGGAAAACCTTTAATTTCCCTGTGCTTCAGTTGCCTTCCGTGAAATGGCAAGGGCATACTATTTCATCACCCATGGTAGGGTTGTGCAGGTAAATTAGTATTTCTGTAGTGCTCAGATCCTAAAGCAGTAAGCAACGCAGAGGAAGTAATTCTGCTGCAGAGCCAGGTTTAGACAGTGTGCTGTAAGACTGTATGAATAGGAAAACCCAATATTGAAGGGCTGCTCACTAAATGACTGACAACAGCTCATTCTGTGTGCTGAGTGAAGTAAGGTTATTCAGGGGGGAAAAAAAAAAAAAGAAGTTACGCAATTCAACAAATTATAACAAATATGCATAAGAGAAATTACTTATGAAGGCACAGGTAAATGTAAATGTATTTTCTAACTTTTAATACAACCTCAATTATATTCTACACAGTTATGTAGTTATAAATGCATAATTCACAAAATAGAGAATGGATGACACATTTCAATTTGCGGGAGTTTATGACACTCTAGGAGTGAAACTTCAAGTCACATTCTTTTAAGTAAATGCTAATAAACCTTCATACTACACCACTTATATTCTGTGTTAATTAAAGAAACACAATATAGCTATTTCTTAAATTTTACAGTATCAACACTTTAGATGATAAGAATTTGCAATGCCAGGTATCCAGATTCCAAAGAACCCAAGAGAAGGCGGCTTATAAAAATCCTCAGAAACATTTTAAAAGTCAGCTTTTATAAACATAACTGTAATAAAATTTCAGTTGTTCTAAGGCTAGAAGCAGGTAGGTTTCATTCCATTGGAAATTTGCCAACCTCAGCCTTCTTGAGGAGTAAAATTTCTAAATTTACTTTGGGAAGAAAATAAATAATTAGACCTTAAACCTATGACTGGTCCAGGACTGACTATTCCTCAACTTTGATTTCAACTCAGGACAACCGCTGGAGGAAGATTTCACATTCATTAGCAAGGAATACAATATTTTTCTGATAATCTAATGTGTGTGTCTATGTGTGCATATCTACAAATAGATTACATTAGAAAACAGAGACTCAAGTGCAATGCTTACCTGGTCCATTAAGGAAGTCTTTAATTCGCACAGCGAGAAGAGGTGGCGGAATACCACTTCTAACATCTACCTCTCCTGCTACTGTCTGCAACCAAATCTCGCAATAATCCAGAGCTTCTGGTAGAGTCTTCCCAGGATCTACAGGTGATAATGATCATAGTCATTAATGATATTCCAAGAATATGATACATAACAAAATGCTACATACAAAATTGATTAAATAAAATTCAGAAGTATAAAATGTTACACAGTAAATAATATTCATAATACTACTATTATACATAGCATTTGTGCCTACAGACAAGATGCACGTGTGTAACAATGCATGCATACATACGCAAGAGGGCAAAGCTGTAATTACACAAAATGTAGAAAACCTGCAAAAATACCAAGTAAAATATGAGTAAAAGACATCAGTTACCAGAAGATGACTTTAAATAGCACATAATTTTAGCTTTAATTACGATGACACTTAAGCAGCGATTACAAGAGAATCTGTGCTCAAAACCTGCTACTTCTAGACTGTATTTTCATTGCCAGGTAGAGAGAATAATAATGGAAAGATAAATGACAAAGCCTAAAAGACAAGATCCCAGCAATAGAGCATAATGACAATGTGGTTATATCATTCTCTTTGGTGTTTCACCCAAGAGCTAATCAGTAGCTGTTCTTGCATATCACATTGAATTGTATTCCTTTGATCAGTTTATAATATTACAATAGTACATTAAAATTCATTTCTTCCAAGTGCTATTCTTGTCTTCACTTTTCATATATCACAAATGGCAAAAACAGTACTGTAAAAATGCTTTTTAATCTTTAGCAACTCAAGACCTTCATTATAATTGTCCTCAATTCTGGCACTACAGTCCTTAAATTCTAAATAATCAATTATTCTTTATTGTCAAGACTGCTATGTTAACTATTGAACGTCTGCCTCATCGTTAATGATTTAAGGAGATTTCCTTGATGTTATTCTCTCCCATTTTCAGTCAATTAAAACCTGCTGTAATTGCTTTATTTGAGTTTTACTGAATGGATTCCTTTCAAGAACAGTATTTACACACCCACTATTATAGTCAACATATGGTATCGTGGTATCACAGTCATATGTGGACTGGGTATATAAAGTCAGCTTTGGAATTTGTATTTCTTGACCTTATCATGTGATTCATATAAAACTTGGCACATATGAACCCTTATGTGATTTCAAAGAACCTACTGAAACCAATTGATCATGACTTTAGATCTATACAGAAAAGATCAAAAGTTAGCACATTCTTCTGTTTTTATTTGATCAATTTTCAGGCAATGACTTTACAGCAGTATTTGTACTGCATGGCATATACATTACAGCCTTCCCTTCCCTTTATTCCCGCTACACATTTATAAAGTCAACTCTCAACAGTTATTTAAGAGCTGTCACTGCATACAACAGATTTGTATATTTTCCATGTGAATTTCTACATTTTTATGGTTCTTAGCCCTTTCCTTTAATTACATTAACCAGAATGGTGTGGCACACTCCCTTTTCTGTAGTAACTGCTTTAGGGAATATCTTGCTTCCTGTGTCTGGAGTTTGCTTAGTAGGCTGAAAATAATAATAATAAAAAATCTTTACCACCAAAGTACACATCTTTTCCGAAGTACAGTTTTGTTTTTGTTCTGAACAAGGACTTTATCTCTGACTTGGATCTATACCATAATAATTTGTTTTGTGCTAGTAGCTCATCATAAATAAGTAATCTGCTAACGTTTTTCAGAATATATACTGTACAGCATTGTAAAAATTACTGAACGTTGTGCAGTGAACTTCACTGAATTAAACTGATCTCTAAGTTATTGTTTCTTCAGAAGTATAAACATTTAGGTGCACCAATATGGAGCAAAATGTTGCAATATGCCATTATTTTGCCTCATTTCTGAAAGATGTCATCACATACTGTATATTGCAACCTAGATCATCCACCAGCTTTTCAGAAAATTCAGTAAATTTAGTCAAACATTTCTTTTGAAGAATACATTTACAGGCACTCCTATTATCCTAAGATGTGTTTATGTTATATAATACCTAATAATTATTTCAAAGTTGTAGCTGTTTAAAGATGAAAATACCTCTGACGAAAACAACTTACATAGCAGAAAATCCTCGCGTGACATAATACATTAGCTATACAAACACTGCCCTCGGGGCACTGGGAATTGCAGAACGTAAGCACAGAATCAAAAAAATAAAGGAACCATGGGGCTCTCGGGAGATTATTTTGCTCTGTCATGTCAGCACCGTCACCTCTTCATTACCGGGGGCACTGCAGGACTGGGATACATGAATTATGAGAAGGACTCCAGAACTTACAGCTTCGGAATGCAACACAAAGAAACCTCAATGCACAAAATTAGCCTGAGTCCAACAAAATATACTACTTTTAACCCAGCACTGGCCTTACTGATCCCAAGCATTTTTTTTTAGTTCAAGTGAAACTGTGTTATTCTGAAACTGAGCTAATTCTGGAGGCACGGTAGTTGCATTGACACAATTTTGCATCGGTAACAATCCCACAGGGCCATGCAAAGAACTAGTTTGAGTGCTTCCAAGCCCATGGCATATGGTTAATTTGGAACCTGGGTAACAGACTTGACTGTACATCCAAACATGCCAGACATGGATCAATAAATAAGTTTTTACATAATGAGAAGAAAGCTAAAATCCAGAGGTTTCAAAAATGACTATGCTGGTGTATATCTCAAAAACTTGAAGGGAGTTCCAAATAGGAGCTATAAAACGTATCTGGGTAAGACAAATTCATTTATATCAAAGGTCAAAAGACTGAAATACACGTGTCTGGATTAAAATACCTACTGAGGTAGAAAACAGCATATGCATTTTCATAGGATTAAGGATCAGGAAAGGAATAAAACAGTATCAATCAATCAGTCCCTATGCCAAGGGCATAGGAATCGTCAGAGAAGCATCAAATGAAAAAGAAAATTTAGGCTGAAAAGTGAGGAATTCCTGATGGGGAGAGCTGTTAGAAAAAGGACTCTTCTCCCTCAAGGAAATGATGGAAACATTCAGAATGTTTAAAAATACACTTGACAGAACACTATAAAATATACAACAGGGAACAATTATGCATCAGCAGGGAACTGGTCTGAATAATGTATTATAATAGGTCATTTCCATTTCCATTTTCTATGATTCTCCCAAAAATCAACACTTAAATTTGCAGTTATTTGTATAAAGAAAATGCTGAAGAAAACCCAAGGGATACATATATAAGTAAAAGGAGAGGCTAGAATTACTCCACAGCAAGCCAAGAGAGAGAAAAGAAAGGCTTGAGAAGTGAATTTAGCGGTGAAGACGGCCAGAAATTCTATCCTCTACACCCTGTGAAAAATTTGTCTGTGGCAGCAAAAGAAAAATGGTGAGACAACTATCACAGATTGACAACCAAGACTGTAATTTAAAATCTGTAAGACTGAGAAGCTGAGGCCTTCAATACGTCCACACTACACCCCCCCCCCCTTTTTTTTTTTTTTTTTTTTTTTTTTTTTAAGAAAAAAATCATGTCTGGCTGTTTTTGAATCCACTCAGACATCCAAAGCCACTTTTAGTCTTGCTAAGGTCCAGACCTCGGCTCCAAATTTCCACAGTTTATGAAGTATCTTCCTAAACTCGATTGGAATTTTCAAGCTTTTGATTTCACCTGCTACCCCCTCACCCTTATGTGAACAGCAGACGGCAAACCCCAAACTTCTGAAGAGAAAGGGGAATAAGGGAAAAGGAAAGGAGGGAGGCAGGAGAAATTTCACATCTTGAAGATTTTCCTTCTCCAAAACGTGGTTTTGTTCCAGTTTGTAGCCGAGAGCCAGGGCGGCTCAGGGGGCACAGCCTGTGGGAGGCTTTAATGGGGGGCTCAGCGATCCGCAGCACCCCAGCAGCTGCCGGGCAGGGGACAGGGCTACCGAGCGTGTGTGCAGGCCGGCAACTTGGCCCCGTTCAGCTGGATCTTCACCCAGACCAAATGAGGTCTGCAGCACACTTTTATGTCAATGGATGAATCATATTTTGGTCTGCAGTCAATTTTAAAAGCCAGTACGATGCTGCAATCATCTCTGCGTTTCAAACTCCGAAGTGGAACGTTTGGTCTTGTTTTAAAAATGGTTTCCACTGGAATTTAAAGAACACAAGTGGGAAAACATTTCTACTAGCGTACTCACAAGTGCTGTGTCAGGAAGTTCAAAAATGAGCACTTACAGTAACCTGAGGAATGTACATTCCCAGGCCAGCTTGTCTTTACGGGTGGGGGCTGCACCCCCCCACATCCATGCATGCAGATGTACTGGACAATAAATATACTCGGAGGGGAACAGGTGACACTCCAGCAGAACTCCCTCAATGCTATGCTAGGAAACAGCCTTAAATCCTCTCTCTGCCTCGTCGGAAGCGCAGGCTGACAGAGGCAGTGAATCAGACTTCCTGCCAGAGCCAGCCTGCCTTGCTCTCCACGCAGCCTGGGCTTTCCATTAGATCAGAGGTTACATGTGGTCTTAGCTACTGCATCTGCTCTTCATGGACCCCCTGCCATCAAAGGCGTGGGTGTAAAAAAAAAAAAAATGCCAGCAAAGGGGGGGGTTAAAAAAAAAAAAAAAAAAAAAAATCAAGAATAATTCTGGATGGCCCCACAATGCCTGTTTTTTGCAAATGCTTCCTTGGCGGAAGTTGAAGAAATTCCATGCATAACAGATATTTATTGAGAAATTTCTCTCCCTTAAAACAACCAAGCACCGCAACCTCTTCTTTGAAAGTAAACAAACAAACAAATAGAAAAAAGATTTTTCAAGAATGCCCAGAGCACAATGCTCAGGAAATGAGGCAATTTTGTATCTGGATTACATTACCTGAAACAAAGCAAATAAAGATTTAAAAAAATATTTATAAAAGCGGCTTATGAGATTACATTAAAAACAATTGCACCCACTTTTATTTAAGTGGAAATGGCCAATGCTCTGTTTGCAAAAACTAACCGTTAGCAGATGCCTTTTTGTTAAATGTAGGATGAGCACTGAGTAAGAAAAGGTTGGTTTATAGTATCTTTCAGGCTCTTTATACAGAATCTTACAAGTAAACTCAGGAAGCAACTAGTCTTTTTAATGGTGCTTATTAAGCATTTAATATTTATCCCATTAACTTATTGCAATCAAGCTGTGCAATTACAAAGATAATTTAAAATACAAATGAAGTGGTTTAGCACAACTGTAATAAAATTGAGCTAACATTTTAATAACCTAGTAAGTCTCCTCCTCTTACAAACTGACTTGCCAGTGGACTTGGTTGGAGAGAAGGACTGAGGAAATTGAAAGCACAACCATCAGGTCCTTAGCTCCAAGGCAGGCAAACGCTCCTACGTACAGACACTGGCCTGATAGAAATGTGCTGCTACTAACTGCTAATTAACACACTAACAATACTTAACTTTTAAATAGCCTATTTCCTCCTATTTTATTCTTAAGTTCTTATTTCTTTCATGTTTCAGAAAGCAAGCAAAAAATAACACAGCTAGTGACAGAGGAGCCAAGTTTTTTGGATGAAGTTTCGTATTTCGGTCACCGTGCAAATACTCGCTCTCTCAAAAAAAGTGATAGCTTAATGTGCAAGATCCTAAATTTTAAGCTCTATTAACTTGAAATCTTTCAAAAATAAAACCAAACCCCTTGTCCCAAATAAAATATATGTGGCTTCATAACAGTATTAAAAACTTCATTTCTACACATGTTCAAAGCAGTAAACCATCTTAAGGCAGTAAGCTTAATTTTGTCACCAGACCAGGGTTAACTATCATTCTCTTTAAAATTCATGCTGGTGCAGTTCTACAGGACAATTTCCCTATTTTATTTAAAGCTTCATAAAACAGACTCTCAACAAACTACCTGTTAGAAGCAGTTCTAAATTCTAGAGTATTCTTTGTTGACTTACAGCTGAACAATATATTTCTTAGAAATACAGTAATGGGAGGTAGGGGATGGAAAACATAACTAGGTCCCAACTATTACCAGCCTTTCTTTACCCTAAAGGTTTTTTTGCAACTAACATCCATTAAAAAAGTAAGATCTTCCTAATTTCACAGTAGCATTTTGTATTTGCTTCTGCCTTGCAAGATTTGAGAGTTGTTTCAGAACTGTAGTTTTTTTCTTTTAAGAAAAGCCATAAGAAATAGCACAGTATTTTGTAAGACCTGAATCTACTGCTGTTGAACTAACAGTAGTCAAGTCTTCAGAATTACACAACAAAATTGATTCAAAACAATTTTCCCAAATGCTTTAAAACATTCCTAAAATATTCTTATGCAGCATATATGGGGTGTATATGTATACACAGAATGATGATTTGAAATGGCAGAGTTTTTACTAGCATGTTTTGGATCTAATCTACACATTCCATATACAGCTTAACTATGTAAGCTTAACCATATTAGCATAAGTAATGAGAAACCACCCCCACAGGAGTACCAATAAAACTTTATAACAAACATCGTGTATTCTTCCTTTTGCCCAGACAAGTCTCAATTTTTTAGGTTGTGATGAAATTTGCTGTTATAGGCCCAACCGTCTGAGCTGCTGCTGTGCTGTTGCCCATCTCCACCATGCCATGTAATGCACACAATGTTTTCATCAGGCCTGCTTGCCTAGTCCCACTGTTTACATGCCTTTTTTAAGGGGCAATATGCTCCATCAGTTCTTATAGTCTAGTTAAAATATATCTTTTATGCTTAGCTTGGGTCCTCTTCCCCATCCTACCTTAGATAATGCAGAGATAGTTGCATGCATACATAGACACAAGAAGAGCAGCCTTCTAGAAAGTCTAACTGGAAATATTCTTTAGCAACATTCGCAGTAAATTAAACATCATTTATGCCCTCTTCCCACCCTCCAGTCCTTGATATACAGAGAAATACAGGAATACAGTGCATACCTACTGTACAGAGGGAGAGAAGCTAACTTACTACTTTCAAACAAACTTTATATTGTTCTTCATTTGGATGATACATCTCTTACAGATAAAACTGTCAGCCAATAGTCACAATGTCACAAAAAATTGGCGTGATTGATAAAATCGACTGCAGCAGTGCAGAAAACACCATGCAATGCTCCTGATGCTGTATTATATGGTTTGCAATATATATAATGTGTATATATATACACACATATATACACTTATTTATAACACATAGTTCATGGCTATTTTCCCTCAAATGCGCGTGTTAGAAATGAAAAATAGAAATTTCCAAAAACTAACATGTTACTACAGTGGTTTGACAACATTAATCCTGAACGAAGCAATTACAAGCACAGCAGGTCTTCCTAGACAAGAGGCAATGAAAACTTTATACTACCTATTTTGCTGTGTGAATTAGTGTGGATTAGTTTCATTAACTTATCAATACATTTAGGATGGTGTTTTTAGGCACTAGAGCTTTGGGATCCACCTCTCAAACTCTTTTCAAAAGAGCCCTAATGCTCTGGTAGCAAGCACAGGATCCCGTCTGATACATGAGTAAGGTACTTGCTACTGCCCACAAAGGCAGCAGCATGAGACCAGAACTTCTGCCTTCATATAATGTCTGATTCCTGCCTCCACACTCTTTTACTTTTGCCTGACACAGAGACAAAAAGCCTAAGAAAAGGGCAGGACCCCTGGTCTTTGATCCTCCAAGACGACCTCTTTGGGTCTCACTGAACAACTGCTGGTGACCAAGGAGCTCTCAGGCTGTATCTTCCTACTATCTTTGTTAGTTTAACTTGCCATGTTTCTGTGCTCTCTGATCCAATTTCAATTTGTAGGAAGACTTTATTACAGCTTGTGTTTTCTAGAATTGCTCCTGTAGATAAAAAGATGGTGGAAGGCTTCAGAAGTTAATTATAGGAGCAGAATGGGGAAAACTTTGCCAGTTTATTGGTAATGTGGTGGCAGCTTGTACAAGGACACACTTGAATGCCTCAGATGTGAGAAGTGAAGAAGTCCTTTTGCATCTTTCCAAAACACTAAGTTAATGAAGTTGCGATCTTCAACTTACAACTACTCCAACTTTCCTTCAGGCTTTGCTTTGCTAATTGATTTGTTAATTCTTTTCAAATTAATTGCTACAATGACTGCCTTTTATATAGTATTTAAAAAAATATACATGGGAATCTGGAGTAAATCAAATTCATGACAGCTGTGTTTCTTTCAGGACAGGACAGCAACAGCAGAGAAAGATGAAAATGGAAGAATGATAAAAGAAAACATGGCAGAGAATGAATCTTCTCCCTATTTTAAGTATCTTCTTTCCAGCTGTTTAATCTTCCTCACTGTTTAATCCCTCTTAAAAGTTCCACCAGATTTCTGAAAAAAGTTAAGATCTATTAAAAACAGAATTTTTACTCTCTTGCATAAGCACATTATTCTAATGCCAATTTTCAAAAGATACCATCTCATTCAGCAAAGATTTGGTATAGCTGCACAAAAAACCGTATACTACTATTCACAACCAGTGTGCTGTATGAACTCTGGCAACAAAAAACTAGCAATGTTTTTTACCTACAGCTCTCATTCAGTGAACAATTTAAAACACCACACTTTTCTGGCTGCACATTCAACAGATCTCTGCATCCTCATTTACACTTTTTTTGGGTAATACTCTGTAATGATGTACCTCATTAAATTCTTACACCCAGTACTGGCTGTCAGACAAATGAATTGCAATCCTTTGATTTCTCTCTTCAGCAGTAGAGATAAGACAGAAAAAGAAATTTTCAGAATATTTTCTTCTGAACAGTTGTTCTGATATTTCTTACTATAAGCTTTGTATATGAAAAAAAAAGCACCTTTCATTAAGAGAAGGAAATTCTTGCAAAACCCTATTATGCAGCTGAATGAAAACTTGAAAAACATGACATCATTAGATCTCATTTGGAAGATCACTAAGATTTTCTTACAGTTTACGATCAAAACACCAGGTGCTTCTACAATGTTTACCTTTAAATTTTATCAGTAGGCTAATATAGGAAAATATTGTGATATCCAGTCATAAAAAATGCTTTTTATGAAATCAGCTTAGCTTACAACTCTCACTTCCTTAGAAAACATTGAGAAGTTAGAGAAATGCAACAATCCCTATCGCAGTGTGGTAATGAGAAAGTAGTATCGAGGAACAGGAAGAACTGGTTGCTAAAAGGTTAGATCTTAATTAATTTCAAACATTTTACACACTTAACTTGATTCAGCGGTGGGGTATAATCCTAAAAATATGTATATTTAGCATTTCATTTTTAAGGAGGTCCTAGAAGTCTCTCAGCTGTTTTCCACCACTCCAGTAAGTTTGAGAAGTGCAGTTAATCTGACAGTTATAACCAGGAATGAATGTTAAGTGCTCTTACCTGTACACTTGTAGTCTGAGGCTACTCCTTTAAGACCAGCATCAAACACTGATATTTCTATCTTTTGCTTTCTGTGGTGGCAGCTCAGGAGCACAGAGGGCTGTGACACAACGAGGTAGAGGAATGGCTGTAGCTCTATGTCCCCAGTTCCCCTGCGACCAGGCTGCCGAACAATAGTTATACCCAGGGCTTGTCGAGCAGATGATCTTGTGGAAGCATGCAGACTTTCCAGTGACAAAAGACCCGTTTTTCTCCCAGTAGACAGGGGAACATTACTGTTCAAAAGATCGTCTGCTGTGACAGAGGAAATGCATGGCTGACCCGTCTTCTTGGTATCATGGCTGCCACCTGAGCCCACTTCTGGAAGGTTCAAGGAGCTTTTGCTTATTTTCTCACCATCCTTCTGATCTTGTACCGATTTTGATTTAGGTAAGGCAGTGCATGAGTAAGTCATCAAGGAGATTCGACTTGCTGTAACAAAGATGTCAAAGGGAATGAAATTGAGATTCTTCACGATGGAGGACTGGCGGGAAGGACGGGCAATGCGGTGCTGGCTGGTACCACTGTGCTGCTCGATCTGAACGATTCTGATCTTAACACTGTCGCTGCCAATTCCACTGTCCTGTGCCCCGCTATAACGGGAAGAAGTCTCAACTGTTCCTCCATCAGACACATCCATTTTTTTCTGCTCTTGTTTGGAAACCTGCAAAGGAAAGTATTATATTAACTCATGATATCCATATCCCAACTATTTCCATTTCAGTGGCAGCAAACAACCACTATATAAACATGATGTCAAAAAAGAGAATTAAAAAAAAAAAAAACCCTATCTGCCAAGTTAACTTTAACACAGTAATCACTCATGAAAACACAGCAGGTGTCTGTTCCAATAAAATGATGACTCACAACAGACGAAGTGCCAAAAGAACATGTGAAGGAAAAAAAAGAAATAATGATTTCTAGGCTTAAATTACTTTTTTTTTTTAAATTTAAACTCTTTCTTTAAACTCTAAAGAATCTACAAGAAATTTATGGCTTAATATATAAAACCATATCTGTGTGAAATAGTGCAATGTAAATAAAAAACCTAGTCAGAATTGTTTTCCAGTTTTGAGCACTGATGCTCAAAAAGTCCTCTTTGGCACTAAAATATTTTACCATGATTAGATGAAATAGAATGTAATATTAATCTACTGCAAAATCACAAAAAGACTAAATGGAAATTCTACGCTGAAATGTATAAATATTATGTTGTAGAAAAAATATTTTTCTTAAGAGTCATGGAAATGACAGCTGCCTTATATAAAACACCAAAGTTGAAGGAAATGTCAGCACTTATCTAAAGACTGTCTTTGTGATGGGGTACGAGTTCTTAGCTTACTAAGGCTACATATGCTCTTGGCTGTGAAATTCACAGGGTTTCACATGAGATAGCATTGCACATAGAAACATTTCAAAGAGAAAACATACACCACTGATAAACAGTAAAAAGAATTCTCCTTCTATCACAGGAAATGCAAGAGTGAAACAAAAAGTTGCAAGGCTGTGTTCAGGGGCCATGTAGTACCAGGTCAAGAGACAGAAATATTCAAGACAAGGAGGTGCTTCAGGAAGAAAACACTTCCAAGGCTGGTGACAGGGAAATCCCAGCCTTTTTAGTCTCTCCTAACAAAGCAGCTGCTCCAGCACCGTAATCATTTTAGCTTCCCTTTTCTACTTCTGTAACCCCATGATGCACTTCTTGAGTGCTCTACACAATATTCAAGAAGTGGAATCACTATGGTTTTATATAGCAGTAAAACCATGCCTTCTGTCTTGTTCTCAATCTCCATCCTGATGATGTCCAATATTTTGTTGGGTATTTTTGGCTGCCACTGCACATTGACTCAATGACTCAATGATTTCATTTCTTTGTTCCAGAACCTACTTCAATAGTTTCTTTTTATCTTCTCTACCCTAGTGAATCTTTGAAAAGGGAGATATAAACTACAGCAAACCATACCTTAACTTCCTCTTGAAAAATACAGTCATGAATTACAAGTACTCACAAAATTTATCAGCAACTTGAATACAGGAATGAATGGCAGTGAATTACTGAATTTCTTCAAACTTTGTGTTTTATGCAGCAATATTAATAGATTCTACATACACTGCAGAAATTTGGGGTGGGGAGGAGTTAAAGAAAAGCAGGGTTTTTTTTTTAAAGGTTCCTTTATATTGTGCTTTATGAAACAAAGGCAGCAACCCCCTCTCCTTTTCTTTAAAGGAATGAACAGGCTCGAAAAAAGTATTACAGAGGAAATCCTAAAACAGAACCATTAACTAGCTGAGATTTTCTTTGAAAAGGTTTTTGCCAGCTCTGGTTACAATCTTTTCAGATTCACTCATGTACATATTTTTCAAATAACCAATAAAATTCCTTGTGGCTGATTTCTATGGCAGACTCATATCACTGACTTGTAAATGTGATACCACTTTTAATGGAGACTCTGTAAAAATAACTAGAGACCATTTTAATGAATTACTATATTGTGAGCCAAGAAATCCTGATTCCTCCTGATATCCTAGCAAAGTTAGGCTATTTACACCTCAGCCTTTCTGTCTGGTAAATTATAAAGTGCTTCACCCATATCCTGCACTAATGGCACTTTCAAAAATGGTATAGACGGTTTTATCGCTCATGTATTGAGGGCAAGCAGAAGACAGAAGGTATGGAGCTGTGAAACAATCTTGCCATATCACATCATGGAAATGCTGCCTGAGACAAAGTATTGGGCACATGCTGCTAAACACAGCAATTTTTAATTGCTCCATAGCCATCAGCTCAGTGATGAAAGATCTTTTTAGAAAAGCATGGATGGTTCTGTAGTGAATGACACACTTACAGATACTACAATGGTATTCTCTTGTTCTCCTCTATGCCACAGAAACATCTACAGCTACCTGGCATTTAGGTTATGCTTCACTTGGCTACAGGGATTGAAAATACAATGTCACCCACTAAATGATAATCACAGAATGGATTGGGTTGAAAGGGACCTTCAAGTTCCAACCCCGCTACCATGGGCAGGGACACCTTCCACTAGACCAGGTTGCTCAAAGCCCTGTCCAACCTGGCCTTGAATGCTTCCAGGGATAGGGCATCCACAGCTTCTCTGGGCAACCTGGTCCAGTGCCTCACTACCCTCACAGTGAAGAATTTCTTCCTTGTATTGAATCTAAATCTACCCTCTTTCAGTTTAAAGCCATTACCCCTTGTCCTATCGCTACATGCCCTTGTAAAAAGGCCCTCTCCAGCTTTCTTGTAGGCCCCCTTCAGGTACTGGAAGGCTGCCATAAGGTCTCCCCAGAGCCTTCTCTTCTCCAGGCTAAACAATACCAACTCTCTCAGCCTGTCTTCATAGGAGAGGGGCTCCAGCCCTCTCATCATCTTCGTGGCCATCCTCTGGACTCAGTCCAACAGGTCCATGCCCTTCTTATGTTGGGGGCCCCAGAGCTGGACACAATACTCCAGGTGGGGTCTTATGAGAGCAGAGTAGAGGGAAAGAATCACCTCCTTTGACCTGCTGGCCACACTTCTTCTGATGCGGTCCAGGATACAGTTGGCTTTCTGGGCTGCAAGAGCACATTGCTGGGTCATGTTGAGCTTCTCATCAACCAACAGCCCCAAGTTCTTCTCCTTGGGGCTGCTCTCAAGCCATTCTCTGCCCCG